AGGGGAGGGGGCTCGTGGCGGCGGGGGGCGGGGGAGACTCGGTGGCGGCTGCTATAGGACGCCCTCCATGAAGCTGGTGTCGAGGTGCTGGATGAGCACCCGGATGAAGGACATCTCCTTGCGGGTGTTCTCGAAGATGATCCGCGGGTCGTCCGACTGACAGCGCAGGCAGTTGGGGGCCATCACCATGGCCAGGTTATTGACGTCCATCTTGGTGACGGCCACGTTGGCCGGCTGTACGAACACCTGGGAGGGGGAGGAGGAAGGCGACGGTGACGGGGTGGTGGGAAATGGGTGGAAGGTTCCGCGTGAACCTCCCGGTTCTTGGATGAGCTGGGGGTCACCACGTTGGTAACCCCACAGCAACTTGAGGAAGCCAAAGCCACCTCAAGAAGCTGGGAGGTGACCCCGGAGGAGGAGGGGGGACACGGTGGCGGGGTCCCGGCCGTACCTGGAGGAAGCGGATGAGGTAGCACAGCACCATTTTGTTGATCCTGGGCAGAGAGTGGACGACGGCGATGGCCGCCTCGGGGTTCTCGTAGTGGGTGATGCACTGCTCGTAAAACTCGTGGGGGATCAGCGGCTCCTCCAGCTCCCGGTACCAGAGCTTCAGCAGGGAGGCTGGCGGGGAGCGGAGAAGATGGGGAGATGTGAGACCTGCCCGGTGGAGGGCCTGATTCTGTACCCCCACACCGTGCCTCCGGGGGATCCTACCGGGAACGTGGGGATCCTACCGGGAACGTGGGGGTCCTCCAAGCCGGTGGGGATCTTCCACTGGTCCACCTGCAGCTTGAGCGCGTTGACCTCGTCGATGTCACCGGGGACTCTGCAGGGGGGAAGAGATGTCGGTTCCCAAGCAAGAGATGGGGACCCCCCTGCCTGACACCCCACCCCGGGCTTTGGGGGTCCCCCGGGTGCAGGTGGGGTGCAAGGAGAGCCAAGAGGGGCCAGCAGCTGGGGATGGAGCCATTTTGGGACCTGGTTGCTGCTCCCTAGGGAGGTGGCATCCTGCTGCAGACCCCAACGTGACTCTGGTGAGCACCAGAGAACGGGCGTGATCTTGCCGTGGAGAAACCCCCATGGCCTTGGAGC